AGGAAACATAGAACAGGAATGTGGGCAAAGCTGACAAGATTTACATTCTTTGTAATGTGGTCAAGTACAGTATTTTTTATTCCTTCGTTGTTTTTGAAATACTTTCCAATGTATTCTTTTACCTGTGGCTCGGAAAATCCTGTGATTTCAACGTATCTGTCAAAATGAATGTGTTTGTCTTTTAATTTGCCAGATTCATCAGGTCTTGACGTGATCATTACAACGGAACCTCGCAGTATTTTTCCTTTAATAAACTTGGCACACACTGCTGCTACTGGCATTTTCTCCATGGCGTTGTTTGGGTACTTTTCATGTGAATCACTAGCGATGTAATCTTGTTGTGAACACTCGTCGTAACCGTCGAGGATAATCAAAACTTCTTCAGGATGATCAACTATGTACTCAAATAAATAGTCGTCGATATTTCAGTGGTCGTCTAGCACTGAAGATCGGTTTAAGATATCCTTCAAGGTAACAGGGTTATCTCTAAGTAGATTAAGCTGACGGAACGTGAGCAAGTATGCGAACTTAAAATCAGGTAGGTCCGTATTTGCTATGGATTGAAATAATCTGTTGTCAGCCCAATCCCTGACCAGCTTTTGACAAAACAGTGTTTTACCGATGCCAGCCTTTCCAGTGACAAGGACAGATTCTGGATGTTTACCATCACTTGGGAGGAACATTTCTTGAGAGTGTTTTAGTTGGTTACCACTCATTTGACCATACTGGCGAAGGTGTTTCTCTCTTTCTAAATCAAGACCCTCGACTGACTTTATTCTTCTCGTTTGGCCATGCTGGTTGAGGCGCTCTTTTCTTTCCAAATCATGATATTGGACTGGTTTTCCTTCCATGTTGCATGAGAATGTTGGTGAATATGCGATCTGTTCTCACTCTGGGCAAGGTTGTTGACACCTGAGCGAGGTATTCGGTTTGGCCTCTTATTGACTCTTTCAAAACTTTGGAGTATTGCGTTACAACTGAAAAGAAAACCGTCACCTGCAATTATCTCATAAACCCTTCCGTATCATGATGACCTTTTTTTAATGCTCGACGAAGATACATCGAACTGCCTGACTTACAAAGCAATTGATTAGAACACTAACTAAGTTTTGCTAAAATTGAGTTCTCCAAAAATTGCAAATTAGTCTTGAGTCCGGATAAAACTCTAACTAAAAATTTTGGAAGTCTCAGTGGGCATTGAAAAGGAAGAATCGCGGGCCCTGAAAAAAACTTCCTAAGAGTTTTGCAAAACAGTTCGAAGGGAAAACGTGGTAGATAAGGTACCAAAAAAAGTACAAAAGCCTGATTATTTGTGACGGATAGTCAAAAAGGTCGAACCAAACTCTTGGTGGGAACACGGTAAAGGGAAATGGCGGAACCAGTAAGCCATGGCACCCAAAAAGAAAAAGAGAAACAACAAGTAAAGTGGAAAACAGAGTCATATTTTTGGCTGTATATTACTGCACTTTGGGATAAATCAGTACTAGTAAATTTTCCTAGAACTACAAATTGTACGACCCTACGGGCTCACTCGTGCAATTTGGTTGGCATTAGAAGTATTCCTCCTTCTGATGTATCTCAAATTTCATTTGTAATCATGTGATTACCCGTACTAACCGACCCATTTCGTGGGCGGATCCAGTAATTTTTGGAATGGGAGGTCCAAACTTCGATTTAAAAAAATTAATAAGTTTTTATCCTTCTTACAATGGTGAGTCAGGCCTGAGTAAACTTATGGAAGAGAATGCGTCCTGTCCTCTCCAGTTCTGATTGAGAATTTTAATTTTTTTCCGTCTCTTTCTCTTGTCGAACCCGACCAGGTTAGTAAGACATACTGCATATTATGATGTAAGTAACTCCATTTAAACTATGAGTTCTCTTTACTCCCCGCACAAGGAAAAAAGACAAGAGAAAATAACTAATAACTCACTCATTACCTGCAAAAAGAATGGTAGAGACAACATCTGGTATTTCTCCAGTTTTGGTTTAGAGAGGAAAGAGTTTTTAAGTGGAAGAAATTTCTCCAACTGAGCTAGGGCTTTTTTAAAGGCAGCCATTTTACATTACTAAAGTGAAATTTGTTAAACTGCCTGTTACCCTCTGACGAGAAGCCCTGCAATCTTTCCCTTCAAGGCCGCTGCCCAAATTTTATCCTCATACGCAATACCTTTGTCTCCTGCTTTCTTTGTGGGATTGACAATTGCTTCCTTTAATTCGTCCAGGCTTTTACCAATCTTCTCTGTCATTTCATCGAGTCGTTCCTTGATGCTAACTTCATCCTTCACCGACTGTCTTAGAAGCTCTTTGTAGTGTTCTTCAAAATCAGGATCCATGCATTCCTTTTTCAGATCATCAATAGCACTTTGGTACTCTGCTCCTCCCAGTCTCACCAATGGACCTTGGATGTCCTGCCAGTATCGATTGAATGTTGCCTCATCAACTGAGGCCTCGCTGGCATGACCATAAACTGTGTTTCTGTAGCACTTGATGCGAACGATATCTGCCTCAAGGGATATGTCTGCTGCAGTAGGAAGTGTATTCCAGCCGGTGGGTGGAGCTACAAGACCACACGTATTCCTCAGCAGAAGCATTAGAAGAGTTATGTCGAAATTTTTCGATGACACTGAGGATCTGACAGTAGGATAAAGTTTACCCCATTGTTGAGGATTTAACACTTTCTTCTTCTTCAGTGATAGGAGCACGGCATGAACTGGAGGGCTTCACAGGACAGCATCCAAGTTTCCAAGGGGACGTTTCTTTCCAAATGTTTGCCTCAGGACACGTGAACCGACATCCACCAGAAGCCTGCATAACCGGGCGTAATTGGTTGTCTCTTTTGTGGAATGAAACGAAGGCGCTACAGCGGTGGCCATGAAGAAATAGTGGATCTTTCGTTGAGCAGAGGTCGATGACTTTCTAATCAATCAATTTGTTTGCTGCTTTTAAGTCAGTCTCTCTGGTCCAGCAACTGCAGACTGAATGAGATATCGGATTTCAAAACCAATTGACCCAGAAAACAACTCTTCAGGAGTGGCATTCAGTAAGTTTGACATTCGATTTTTAACATCTCGACTTTTTATCTACACTTCCAAAAATTTCTGGTACATCTTAAGGTCGGCACACATGAGGGGACTAGTCCCTGCGACTTGTCCGTGCGACTAGTCCCGGCGACAAGTCTTAGAGGGGTTTACACGAGGGGACCGGTAGCAGGACTAGTCCCTTAAAACGTTCACACGAGGGCACTGAATTGCACAAGAACATAGAAAAATTAAGAGGAAAAAGATGTTTCTTATTCTGGGGCGTTACACTAAAACAATGACAATTTGGTAACTTTTCATTGTAGCACTACTAAACATCAACGCAAATGAACTACACTTATTCAGTCGGATTATTCATGCTTTTACGTGTTCCATTTTTGTTTCTTTTTTTATTTTTAACAGACGCAGAGTCAAATAGGGTAAAAGTTCCATCAAAACGGCTCCAAGGCATCTGTATATGTTTACAAAACTAGAAATAGTTTTTTATTCTTCAGTTGTAGAAATCTAGAATTCAGGGAAAATTCACAGAAACTGCAATGTTTACAAATACCGGAAGTCACCCATCATACTAACCCGTGATTGGCTCATCTACCGTTTAGTCGCAGGGACTGTCGCACAAACAGTTCACACGAGGGAAGGGACAAACATTTGTTTCATGCGACAAGTCCCTGCGTTTTGTGCAATGGAGCCAAACCAACATTAAAAAAATAGTGCGATTCAATTCGAGGTCGAAACGTCGTGCTTTTTTATCGCTAATTTTTATCTCGGAAACACTGATTTCTCATTCAAAACTGCCCGATAGTACTTCTCAAGACATTAAAGAACCGTGACATATATAGCTGTGATCGTGAAGATACGTATGGTGAAGTGTGAAAATCAAATTGGCCTTTTCTTACAGAGTTCCGAGTAACTCTTCTCCCATCTAGCCGGTTCACTTTCCAATGCATATAAAATAGGAGAATTTAGGGAAGTTTTCCGAGTCCTTTAGCTGACAGCTTTCTAATTCCTGTCAACAGCGTGTTTTACAATGCATTCAAATAGTGAAATTATGAAAGGAGAAGATAAGGGTTTATCGCATCCGGGAAAAAAAAAATCTCCAGTTCGGAATTCCACCAAAACAATCTCTAGAATCATATTGCCTTGTTGGCGAAATTCTAGAAATAAATTCTATTTAATCAATTTTCTGTTTTTCTCCTATATCCGTGTGTTACAGTAAAAACCCGCATGTAAGAACCTAGAATCTTTCATGTCTGGCAAAACAGGTTCTTATGTTTTAGGGTATTTACTGACAACCTAGGAAAAACAGGTTCTTAATAGGTTCTTAAAATATCTTTAATGCCAGACTTAGTTTTCTATACTATACTGTACAATACACTGTGTACTGAACAATGTACTTAATTATACAGTTTAGAAGTTTATACCCAGGAGTAAATTTTTTTGAACTTGCTTTCATAGATGACTGGGAGCCATAAATACAGTGGGGAAACCGTATTGTGACATGTTTTATGGAAGTATCAAATGTATAGAAAACATTTATTTTATAGTTACAGATATATTTTGCTGCAACATTGTTTCATTATCCAGAATAACTCTTCCTATAAGAACCATGTAGGTTTTGCTGGGTAGACAGGTTCTTATTTTTTTGAGTATTAAAATCCAAAATTTCAGCCAAAAAGGTTCTTAATTACTAGGTTCTTACACGCGGGTTTTTACCGTATCCTTATGCCCATTTGGCTTTCGATAATATTTATGGTCCCGGTTGTTCGAAGGCTGGATAACGCTAGACACTGGATAAAACTCTATCGGTGGATACCAAAGTACGCTTTGCTATCACCTACCCGCCAGATAGCAATACTTCCGCCTTTAGTCAACTGGGCCCTGCATGATAAATTGATTTTTGGAATACATCGCCAGAAATCACGGACATTTCGAGCCCGCTAACAATTATCAGCGGTATATCGTATTACACTCCAGAACAATAGAATATCAAGAGAATTCAATATGGCGGCGATCATGGCTCGATCTGCAAAGAAGCGTGTTTCGTACCACGACTTACACAATTTGAGCACCGCGGATCCTCTATTTGATGAAAATAAAAAGAAAAGAAGAACAGCACGTAAATCTTTGGGATTGTTCGAGGCAGAGCGAATTATTACAAGCCGGGAGGACTCAGAGGTAAAACGCGAAGCTTTGATTATATTCAGTTATATTTCATGATAAGTTTATGAAAGGAAAAAATTGACACGTTAATTAGTTTATCCATATTACATTTTTAAGGGAACGAAATACCTTATTAAGTGGAAAGGCTTCAGCGCATTTCAGAATACTTGGGAGCCTGAAGAACACCTTTCCCAACTTTTGTTGAGGTAAATTATATTCACCATTAACCGCATTAGCAATATATTGATCAATTTGGTCAACTTGCTGTCTGATTGTTAACACAAGGGTACTCTAACTTTCAACAGACTTCCCTGATACCATACACATGGAAAGAATATGAAAGAAAGCACATAAGAAAACAGTAATGAATCACTGTTTTGGTTATACAAGACTGTTCACTCTGGCCGCTATCAACTTTGCATTGGTACATGTACTTGCTGTTAGTGTTGACTTTTATAATGCTTTTGTGTAGCTCTCAATATTGACTAACCAAGTGAGCTTGGAAGTACACATCCTAAGAACTGGGTTGTGAAAGTAAAACGTTTAAGTTTTAAATTAAAATTAACTATTTTTTGCAGGTACTTTGAGTCTCCAAAACCACATGTGGACACTGTCCAGGAGTGTGTGGACAGACTGAGAGTCTCCTTATCGGATGCTCTCAGGCACAAAGGTCCAACACAGGCTGTATCACTGGAATTTCGCCATGATGTCTTCAAATATCTATTTAGTGGAAAGGGAAGACATGCTGAGGAAAAGAACTGGCAATTATACGAAGAAAACGATTTTAGTAGATGTAAGCTTCCTACCAACTGGAGCTGTATATTAGATAAACATGGAGATGGAGTTAGGATTAGGTTTCCAGTTAAAATGAGGAGATTCCTTAGCCTATCTCCAAAAACCTATGAAAGGGTGGCTGAGGTTGTTGTTGAAGCCCCGAGGGCCTATACTGAAAAGATTTCAGTCAAGTTTGTTAAAGTCTCATCATCATGTAATTAGTCAAATTTATATAACATTTTGATATACAGTAACCAGTAAATGAGTACAAGGAGGACTAAATTAGTTAACCTATTATTCTCAGTGCTTCATTGTTTTTGCATGGTGAAATGAATTTTAACAGACTTACTGAATAATGTTATTTCCTAAGTAAATTTACAGATTATATTTATTGTACTTGAGAATTTTCGACAAGAGCCACTAGGTCTTTTTTTTTAAATTTAGTTATATTTTTCACTTTCATTCCTTTTCTTTTGATGACTTCTTTGAGTTGTGCAATTGTCATCTTGTTATAATCTTGGGTGGCACAAGTGGGGCTTTCATCAGATATTTCATCATCCTCGACCCGTTCCATGTACATGGATGTGCTTGCCGAAGAAGCCCGTTGTTCTTTCCTTTTTCGATGGATTTCATCCTCCCAGTAATCTAGCTTCCTTTTAGTGTAGGTGGCTTTCTTACGTTCATGGTGCTTTAGTTCCCACTGCCTACTTTCTGTGCAAAGTATGTCTCTGGCAGCATCCCACTTATTTGACTTGTGAAAGTGGATTCTCTTAGCATCATCGTTATTTTTTTCTACTCCTTGCCCGGTAAATTGTTTGAGACAACCATGCTTTTGCACAAAGAAAGGAAGGTGGTAGGGAATAAGGTGCATATAGGGGGTTACTCTGGGTCTGGTATACCCTTGGCGAACACCTCGTAGAGAACAGAAAAGTTCAATCCAAGCCTTTGCATCAAGAAATATGTCATGAGCAGAAGTGTTGGTGAGGTTAAAATCAGAAATCTTGTCATACAAGTGGCCAAAATCAACCCACAGTTGTTTAACTGTTGCAGATGTATTTGGGTACAGGAATTCCTGAAGGTTAGAGGGCAATCCACTCAGGAGTTTCTTTTTCTGGGACCCAAGGAGACTTGTAAATTCTTTGACCTGGCTTTCAGAGCCATCAGCATTCTTTTTGTTCCAGACAGAAAAAGATATTCCCAGGTCATTTATAGCTTTCACTAGTCTTGTAAGGTATATCCCTTTAGGTTGGCCTCTAGGCTTATCAAAATCCTCCACAGCATCCCTCTCCAGTACCTCATCAATGATATTCTGTAGTAGTTTGTCAGTTATTCGTAACAATAAATGAAGTTCATCAGGTATTACATGTGTTAGTGGAATGTTTAGAAGTGGCTCATGAATGCATCCAAAGTTATCTTTAGAAGAGCAGAGTGTTTTCATTTCTTCGAGAGTGCGCCTCATTGGTTCCTCATTGTAATGGTGGATGGGCTTGCTTGTGTCCCACCTGTCATCTTTGTGAATTTTGCACCAGGCACAAGCATAATCAGCTGTAGCTGAGCTCAACCCCAGGATCATGAGAAGGAACTTCATATCCCCACCTAGAAAAAATTCTAGTTCAACATCCTCTCCATCAATTGCTATTGTACCTGTGCTAATCAGTTGATTTACCTCATCAAAAAAATTTGAGAGTGATGTTTTTAGGGTTTCATATTTCTCTGGCCCATTGATGATTGCTACTGTTCTGTTATGCTTAGGGGACATGACACTTTCATTCAACTGTAGTAATGTAAAGGACATCATCATAAAGTTTGTTGTTCTTGACATACGAGCACCATCCCCACTCAATTTGACTTGAATTTTTCCTTCTTTCAGTTCAGGTTCCTTCTTAAGGAGCTCCCTGACATGATCCTTAAATGTAGAAGTGAAATTTAAACATGATCCTGAATACTTTCCAGGTGTTCTCTCGATATGATATAGTTTGTTCATTGCTGTTCTTGACTGTTTCACAAGATAGGATTTGGGTAGGCCTTCAGTGATCATGGAAAGTTCATGATACGTTTCATCACCTACACAAAACTTATCAAGCAGGAACAAAACCTGTTCCACTTTGTTTTTCTCTTCTTCATCCAAATTTGCATGTCCATGAGGGGTAGAATTGGATGCAGAGTAATTTAAGCTGTGAATTAAGCCCTCTTCATCCTGTAGTTTTATCTCTGTCAGTTCCAGTCCAAAGCTTTTGCAAAACCACAAGGCACATTGTGCTTTGCTTTTTAAAAGGCGAAGCTTCCTACCTTGTTGTTTAGTTCCTAGCTGATTATATTTTTTCCCCTGACATTGTAGTGATGCACTTTTTTCAAGGGCTTCCACATAATCTGCTAAGTCTTTGTTGACCTGTTTCAGATCTGTTATTTCTTCTTGCAGTTCATTGATCTCCCTTATCATGTCATCATACAATTTCTCCTTTTCTGCTGCCAAATCATTGAACTTTCTTTTCCATTCGTCAAGTTCATGCTGAGATTTTTCAATTTCAGACTTAAGGGATTCAAATGTCTCCACTTCATTCCTTCTTATACTCAGTTTATATACTTTATCATCCAGTTGCTTCTTTTTTCTCCCACTTGTTTTCCTGTAGGTACTCTTCACCACAGCTGCTGTCTTATATAATAGTTTCTCTACACGTTCGCAGCCCCTCTTGACCATAAACCACCCATCAACCACAGTTGAGTTGAGAAGGTCTAAGTAAGTTGCTTTGATGGCTGTATCTTCCAAAATCTCACCCCATAAGCGTAGCAATGGCCAAGGAATCTCCACACAAAAAAGAAATTCATATTGTTGAGCAGCCTGCTGCTTAACGTAACGAAGAGGGAACTCGGTGCTCAGGCTTAATTTCCATTCAAGCTCACGTTTTTTGTAATCAGTCAATATCTCAGACATGATGTCAGAATTTTGATTTGCTTTTTTAAAATTCTCGCGCCAAGACTACTGAATTTGCATTCAACGCCTGGCATATTTTTATTCCGCAAAGGACCTGAGAACTAATTTATTCCCAGCAAGAACATAAACAAATATGGCCGACGATTCGAAGATCAGCGATGCTCGTGTTTAACCATTTCAATCATAGTTTTCAAAATGGCGTCTCGTCACTTACTCAACATGGAATATAAGGGATATTCTGGCGCGTTGGGAAGTTTTTTGATGGGAGGAAATGGCAATTTTACAGGATATTTGGACGCTTCGAACTCAGTAGCAGTGAATTCGATCGAGAGCAATTGACTTCATTGATGCACTTTCCTGTAATAGGCGAGTGTTTGGGATGGAGAACGACGGATTTTGAAGAACTGTATGGCGACTTAGGTCAATGAACAATGACAAAAGAACTGGCTCGGGAAGTAAGTGGTTTTTATTTATCGAGTCACTGTGAGGTTTGATGAATAGCAGAATCAGTACTGAATATGTCTAGATCGAGAGCAGACGGGACCACGAGCTCCTGATTGTTATATTTTAGAAATTGTACAAATTTCCATACAGTTTCTTATATTATTTGGACGCCATTATGGACGAAATACGCAAGCGCGGCCGCCATCTTGTCCAATATTTCTGCCAATGAAATCACTGTGGACGTATTTTATTATCTTGAGACATAATTATCTAGAGAAGCCGATTTTTCACAAAAAATCCTATCGACGACATAGATAAACATCCAAACACAACATGGTGGTTCAATTTTCATCATCGATAAGTTCTATCGCCAACTATTCTTTTTCGTGCGGCTCGTGTAACGCCGCACTAAGCCAGCATCTAATCTGATCAGCATTTCGATTCGATTCGTTACAAAACATGACGCGTTATTGTTTGAATGTTTTCGACAAATTATACTAGGTAAAATTCAATCGATCGTTTGACTTTTGTGTGCGATTTTCTTCACCCTCAGGAACATCTTTTTGTAGTTTCATGCTTAATGTAAAGCGATCATTAAAATCATGTTTGATTTTAATGATCGCTTAGGTGAAATGCTTGTTTGAGCGGCGTAGATTCCCCTGAGGTCGTAAAAATATGTTTCATACAAGATTTAATTCGCAGAAAGAAAGTGCTCAAACTGAAAGTCAACTCAGCGTACAATAAAATCTTCTTCGCTTACCTCCAAAGGCTGACTTGAAGCTCTCACTCAGATGCCCACCCGCCATTGCTTCGTGCTCATGGAAGCATAACGTTTACATCCAGTTATAAGCCGCTTGAAACATGCGTCTTTAGCTCAGTAAGACCTCAATGTATCAGCAATCATCGGAACAGAAAGAAAATAAATTGAGTTAAAAGTTTGTTCAGTCCTGTCCTAAAATGAAATCACATATACAAGCGGATCTCGTCGTCAAATGACGCAGACAATTTTTAAGGAGGGGCATTCAGGAAGCTCAAGTTTCATTTTCGAAACACTTACCTTCTGCTCCACGCTATTAATAGTTTCCGTAGAATCTGAACGCTTGTATGGAGATTATTTCAAATCCACACATAAATCACAGATCACGTTCTCTTCTTCTAGCAGTTTTTTTGTGAAATTGCTTCTGATAGTTTTCAAAACGCTGTGGTCGCGTGATTTGTAGGATAGCGTGACGTTGGAAGACTAGATCTAAAGTAACCATGGATATCTTTGACGCAAGATGACGTAACTGCAGAATAGGAGTTAAAAGAGTTAGGGCTAAAATGACAGAAAAAATGTAAGGTGATTCGTTGAATGGCTGTCTCGCAAGAAGAGGTCAAGGCCAATCTTTTAGCTTTGTCAGGAATGTACCAAATGCGTGACATCTTGCGTGACAGCCGTTCAGCGGATCGCAATACATTTTTTGTCATTTTAGCCCGAACTCTTTTAAAGAATGGAAAGCCATACTGGAAAAAAGTGGTCGAGAATAATTTTGTTGGCCGAGAAATAATTTTTGTCTTTCGAGATATATTTTCGATGGCCCAGAAATATTTTTGACGATTGAGAAAACTTTCCTTTGGTCGAGAAATAATTCTCTCTGACGAGAAATACTGTGCAAGTCCAGAAATATTTTAAAGGATCAAGACAACTTTTTTGTAGGTCAAACAACTCTTTTTATTGGTTGAGAATTTTTTGGTAGATGGAGAATTAATTTTGTCGATCAAGAATTTTTTTGCCGATCGAGAATATTCTTTGTCACGGATCGAGAATTTTTTTGTCGATCAAGAAATTACCTGTCGATCAAGAAATTGCCTGTCGATCGAGAATGCTTTTGTCGGTCGAGAATTTTTCCGTCAATCGCGAAATTGTTAATAACCGTATGTCGCATAATTTCTGGACACTATTGCGTTAAATTTAATTCATCAGATTTTAAGTAGTTTTTGGCGTGCTTGCTTTTAATTACTGAGTTTTCCAAATACTTCTTAATGTTCCACCTGAAAAGTATTTCTTCTCATCATGCCTTTTTTTGTGCAAAGATAGTTTGTATGGAATAATATCATTTCCGGTGGTTTAAGGATACAGTAGACCTTCGCGGGTGTCCTTCGCGAAAAGAATTGTTACCGCGCTATTTAAAGGGTAACCACCATAAACTATATGTCAATGGAAAGGTTATTAAATGTACTTTCCAGCAAAAATTCTTTTGTTTTAGCTTGATCTAATCGTAAGCCGACTAAGCCAGGACAATTCGAAACGGACGATGTTTCTTTGAGCGAATTAATCGCCTATCAAATTTACCCGCACAAGTGAAACTTCTGCACAATTTCAATATTAAGGGGTTGGTCTCCAAAACTCTGTGGGGCTTTATCGATATTCCTATTGGTCGCTTTGCAATCTTTCTGTCAAGTTCGGTTATCAAAATTTCACCGATACGCGTTACGCCGGAGACCATTGCGGTAGCCTGAGTATCAGACGTTTCTGGGAGCGTTTCTGGGGGAAAGGGGTAAGAGAGAAGCGAGAAAGGGAGAGAGCGAAAGGATGAAACCTTTCTCTTCTCCCCCCTCCCCCCAATCTCCTCTCCCCTAGCCCTGGGAAGGCCTGAAACTCAGGCTACCATTGCGGGAGATCACTATCGAAAAAAAGAAGAGCCCCCGTCGGTTTTTTAGACTGGTATCTTGGGAGCCTTCGGACCAAACTTCAAGTGAATCCGTAAAGGTTTCATACCCTATTAATTATTCCAAAGAAGACACGCGCTTAAAAATGAAGCGTGTTGTTTTCGCTTCCAAAGTTTTTCCAACATTTCACGTCTTTAGTTAACCACATGTCAAGTTATGTCAACACTCTGAAAACTGGAAATGCCGACCGCATTTTTGCATGGCGCGTATATACGGACAAAAATAAATATCGACATTCGTTGTTCAAAGCTTCATTACTTGTTCAATGTAGGACCCAGATCGACATTCAACATTCATACAGAAACGATTAACATTCAAGCGTTCACGCTAACATTCATTAATCGAACCGAACTTCTCCCTGCGTGCCAGACGATGATCATTATCAATTCAACTTTCATGTGGGCATTCATCATTCATAAAAAAGACTGGGACCCAACGGTCCCTGTTGTTTGGGTGAGGGAGTCCGGAGTGGCTATCAAGCCGTTGATTTTTTCAAAGATAGAGGCCGATGCCAGGGAGGTGTTTACGGCACGAAAAGTTGGTTTTGGTAGGATGTGATAAGTACAAGTCATGAGTAGTCTACAATAGTAGAATTCTACTATTCCTGTTTGATCATTTTGCACATGGTTAAAGTTGCTGAAAAAACTTTGGTTGGGGCTTAATTTCTCTGAAGGGGAGAACCACAAAGGGGTTCCAAAAGACATTTCCAAAGACACACATGTCCATGGGTGGATAGAAACAAGCGAATCACAATAACTAACTGTTTCATCCATTTCAGAGGAGTTATTGATTTTCAATATTATAACTTGACTTTCAAGGCGCTGCATTTATTTGGTTGACAAGTTTGGAATGTCAGTAACCATGTTAATTGAAATTTATAGACTTGATAATACTTTTAAACAAGAGGACATCTGCATGAAAAATATTAGTTTTTTTCCCAAATTTTGTCAAGCCAAGAAAATTAATGACTTCGTTTGGAATTTTGAGAAATTGATTTTTATCGTTACATTTTCCCAGAAAAGAATGCGCTACTTAATCTGCCAATACTCCTTGTGATACTAATGTTCATTAACAGCGTAGCTTTATTTCAAATGCCTGAAATGATAAGAATTTGAAAAAAAAGGATTATTCTCTTTTCTCAAAAGCTGAAAGCATTTCTCCCTGAAGAAACTTTAATACTTCATCTGCCAAAATTATCAAAAACTTATTACTCCTGTCAGAGTTAATAGAGGGAACTGGTTATGAAAGCCGGTGAACTTCAAACGATAAGAACATTAGGAGCCGTCTGAGGTTGAAGGTACAAGTCACGTGATCGCGAAGGTGCACACAGTCAAAACAAGATGGCGGATGGAGTAGACGATCTCTTGCTATGGGGAGACGATTTCGAAGTTATTTTAGACATTTTAGAAAGTGATGAAACGGTCAAACAGCAGTTTGTAGCAACAGTTAACAATGTAAGTTCCAATTGTGCTAATTTACGTGTCTAATTTCTTGCTACCGACCCAAAACGTTCGCTCGGTTATATATTTGTGGCATGGCAAGTTACTCGAGTCAGCCGAAAAAAAATCTACACCCAAAAATTTTACTTAGATATGCATGTCCTACCTGCAATGACTGATCAGTGTTTCTGTAGAAGCTAAGAATATGTTTTACACTGAATAATGTCCCGTTTAATATGTGAAGTACTTGCTGGAAAATAGCTCTGAGTCCAGGGTATCACATCCAATTTTAGCTGGTTGTAGCAACATGCTGCACGAATCGTAATTTTTCTTTGTTTGTTGTTGGTCCAGTAACATGAAATTATCCGCAAAGACTGGGGGAAAAAGGATAAAACTAAAGGAGGTTATGAACGACACGGAAGT